GATGGATAACACAGGGTCACAGGAGTCATATTGATGTGGGCACAGTAGTTGAGGCACTAGTGAGATCACAGACTGAGATCAGCGGGGACCTCATTTGGCACCAATGAGCCAACACAGTTTTAATATGGGAGGCCGGAGTCCAAGCTGAGTAGTCTTGGTCAGCACCAGCCCAGACGAATCCATTTCTAAATTTGCAGAACCATGGATAGCTCCATGAGAACTATTGCCTCAAAGAAAATGTTGGGCTTTTTCTGAAGCTCACATGTAAAGGGCTGCATGGACCCCATAGCCTGGAAATCCTGCTTCCGTGGAAGGACACCACCAGAAAAACTGCTTGGAGAGTTTAAGGAATGTGCGACTTTTAAATAGGGAAAGGAAAGATTCTGTGAAAAGCAAGAGCAGTGTAGGGGTGGATGGGGCTGACCCACAGCAGCCAGCTTTGTCCTGGTGGAAGGCAACCACTCAGCACCCAACAGGCATCTTAGTCAGCTCGGGCTGCTGTAACAAAGTGCCATAGGCTGGTGCTTTACAACAACAGAAATCTATTGTTCACGGTTCTGGAGGCCGGGAAGTCCCCTATCAAGGCACTGGCAGATTTGGTGTCTGAAGAGGGCCCATTTCCTGTTTCATAGACAGGGTCTTCTAGCTGTGTCCTCACATGGCGGAAGGGGAGAGGGGTCTCTCTTGGGCCTCTTTTATAAGGGCACTAATCCCATTCAGGAGGGCTCTGCTCCCATGACCTAATCACCCCCCAGAGGCCCCACTTCCTAAGACTGTTGTTGCCTTGGGTGTGAAGATTTGAACATATGAATTTGGGGGGAACACTTTTAGACCATAGCAATAGTCCTTCCCCTGTGTTGCTGGGATTGTTCTTTTTGTGCTTCAATCTAGCGCCAGTTACAAACTCAAGTTCAGTAACAAAGACCCAGACAGCTCTCTCTCACCATTTTTAGCACACTGGCATGTGTACTGTGCAGGAACCCCCTCCTCCCTGGATGGCCCAGAGGGTCCCACCCATGTGCACATCTGTCTCATGTCATGTCACCCCACCACCATGTCGTGTGGCCTTGCTTCTTGCCTCTGCACAGAACTGTTCCTGATGTGATCTTCTCTGGGCAGGGAAATCATTATTGCCAGCACTACCTAAGTGTCCACGACCTCTCACCTGCAATTGTATTTCTGTGTTCCTTGAATCAGCATTTTAGCAAATTCCTAATTTGAACATGTATGTTTTTTATTTAACAATTTTTATCTCCCTTTTTTTGGGTTGTACAGGGAACGAAACCCTTGACCTTGGTGTTACAAGGCTGCACTCTAACCAGCTGAGCTAACTGGCCAGCCCTTATTTAACAGCTGTTATCTGTCTTTCACTGTATCCCATAGTCTGGCCTGGTCTGCCCTCAGCACTTAGTCAAACAGCTTGCCCACGTTTATCAGTGGCCTCTGATGTCCCCTCCAGTTTCCTCTCTTCCGTGCTCCCCCGCCTCTCTGCAGCATGTGCCACACTTGACACATCCACACGGCCATGGCATTCTCTACTTCCTCCTGGGAGCCTGTTGTCCGTCCGCCTGCTTCTCTGCTGCGTCCTGGCTCTGTGCGTGGCTTTCCCAGCACCACAGCAGGCTCACTTGCTCTTCTCTTTGGAGCTCTCACCTGTCAGCTCCACCATCTCCTCTGGACACCACTGTCTAGGTTCTTATCTCCAGCCCTGACTCCCCCACCCCCTCAGGCTCTGCAGCATCCTCACCTGAATGCTCACTCCCGACGGATCCTCCAATCTCCCTCCCTCACCTCCTCTCCCACCACTTTCAAGCTCCCCGTGAATGCTCCCCTCTCCTGCTCACACAGGCTCTGGTCCAGAACCAGACATGATCCTTTTCTCTACTCATGAACTTATCTGGCCATGTTGACTCCAGCTCCAAATTTAAGTGGGTTGAGGAATGATGGACAGAGGGAGAAGTGCAGACAGCAAGTGTAGACCAGGCGAGGCAGTGACGGGCATGACAGCAGAGGGCAGTAGCCAAGAAGCAGAGTAGAGCGGGTGCCCGAGGGTAGGGGAGACTGGAGAATGTTCTTAAACACAGGTGGGAGAAGGCTCTGGTAGGAAAGAGAATGAAGGTTAAAAGAAAAAGGACATTTCCTAAGTTCCTCAGAATAATTCAGCAGTACTTTGTCTGACTGGTGACATCTTGTCAAATGCTCTTTCAGTTAGAAATACTACAGGTTACAAATCCTTTAGAAATTTGTCCTATAGATTTACCAGCATTGGAATGACATAGACCAGGGTTGCAGCATTGTTTGTAATATCAAAAGATCGTTGAATATTAGTGTTTATTCCAATGTGGATCAGAAAAGATGAGTTAGAGTGCATCCACAGAGTGGGCTGCTGTGCAGCCCTAGGAACGAATAAAGAAACTAGCTCCTGAGAGGGAAAGGGGGTTCAAAGATACTGTCAGATGAATGAAAGTGAGATAGAACTGTGTATATATCTTGTACAAGCAGGGTATTACAGTGTGTGTAATAAGACATAACAAAACACTGCGTGTACTGTGCTACCGTTTGTGTTTAAAAGGGGAGGTAAAGGAGAAATATTTATTCACATTTTCTTGTAATCCCTTAACTGAAATGCTTTGGTACCAGAAGTGTGTCGGATTTCAGATTTTGTGTGTGATGTTTTGTTTGTTTGTTTGTTTGTTTGTTTTAATAAAAAGATGACCGGTAAGGGGATCTTTTTTTTTTTTTTCCTTTTTGTCTTTTTTCATGTCCGGCAACGGACCGCAACCCTCAGTGTCGCGCCCGTACCGGACCGGGACCGGCAACGGGATTGCAACCCTTGGGGCTGCGCCCGCCCCTCGCTCAGCCAGTGAGCGGGAACCGGTCTGTATGTGGGATCCGAACCCTCGGCGGGAGCGCCGCCGCACTCCCAAGCGGCGCACTGTAGCAGTGCGCCACCGGGCCGGCCCAAGGGGATCTTAACCCTTGACTTGGTGTTGTCAGCACCACGCTCTCCCAAGTGAGCTAACTGGCCATCCCTATATAGGGATCCGAACCCTTGGCCTTGGTGTTATCAGCACCACACTCTCCCAAGTGAGCCATGGGCCGGCCCTTTTTTCTTTTTTTAATATTTGCAGATATTTAACCAAGTTGAGCATCCCTAATCCAGAAATCCTAAATGCTCCAATGAGCATTTCCTTGAGCACCATGTGAGTACTCAAAAATTTTGGGATTTCAGATTTTCAGATTAGAGATGCTTATAACCTGTATATACATAAAGACGCTCTGGGAGAATACCTGAGAGACCAGCCCCTGTGGCCAACTGTGGGATGTGGGGGTCCTGGCAAATGGGGGAGGCAGTGAGAGGCCTTTCACCATCCCTTTTTACATGTTTAGATTTTTGAGCCATATACAGGTACATTATAACCCCTTAAATTTTTCAAAAAGTTCCATTTTGTTTTTTAAAAAAGCTTCCAAAGATCAAAATGGATAGTGTTATTTCTTCCAGTTGAATGAAAGTCAAGTTGTTTTACCAGGGAGACGAGGTAGATATTTTGCCCATTCTTGAGTCTTTTCTGGTAGCTTTGGCTTATTCTTTTCTACTTTGAAGGAAATATTTCTATTTATAATTCTTCATGTTCTTTCCCTCAGAGAATTTATACCATTGCTAATTTTATTACTAAAGCCTGATCCAGTTTTTTACATTTCTTTCCCATTTTTTCGCCTTTCAAATGCCCTGTGCATTCATTACCATGTTAGATAATATTTAGACAATTCATATAGATGGAAGAAAATGATTTGCCTTAATACTTGAAGCCTTATCCTGACATATTTTGGTAACTCCAGTAAAATATTAAAAGAAATGCTTGGCTTCATTATACTAAAAAATACTAAGTTCTGGAGGCCATATCTTCAGACTGATTGCCAAACAGCAACCCTATTGATGTCGAGGAGCTCCAACCCATGAAGGAGCCATGGGGGACACTCACGTAGTGGGAGGGAAGACAGCTATCTTCAGCTACTTTTTATTAAGGGCTGTTTGAAAAGGCAGTAGTAGTAGGACCAATGGACAGACCTCCTAATAGTCTCCTCCCCGGGCAGCATACGGAAGAACTGCTAAGCACCCAGAGTGCCCCACAGGGGCAGTGGTCTCCAGTGGTGGCTGCCACATTACTCTGTAGATGACAGGGATGGGTGGCTGCATCTGATGTCTACACAGCTCAATCTTGCATTCAGAAAAAGAACTTTTGACTAGGTGGCAAATAGCTTCGACTTTAATAATAAGATATTTTCTTGAATCAGTTTTCTTTCAAATTCTCAAACCTGGAATAGGTACTGTGCATGAGACCCATTCTCTTCTTTTTTTTTTTTTTTTGTCCTTTTTGAGACCAGCCACACCACACTCAGCCAGTGAGCGCTGTGAGCGCACCGGTCATCCCCATATAGGAACTGAACCCGTGGCGGGAGCGTGCGCTCCCAGCCCTGCACTCTCCCGAGTGCGCCACGGGCTCGGCCCAGACCCATTCTCTTCTAACTCCATTCTTCAAAAGTCTCAAATTTTGTAGCTTCTTTACAGTGAGTGCCTTCCCATCTTTATTCTTTGAGCAAGGTAAGCAAAAGTGACTTCCTTGTCAGACACTGAGCAAACACCTTTAAATGTGGGCTTTCTAAAGGTTCTATTTTATTTTATTTTATTTTATTTTATTTTTTGGTGGCTGGCCGAGTAATGTCTTTCCCCTAGGCCAGCATAGTTTGGCACGTTAGAGATTTTTTTTTGGCAGTTGGCCAGTGCAGCCATCCAAACCCTTGACCTTGGTGTTTCAACATCACGCTCTAACCAACTGAGCTAACCAGCCAGCCCTGAAGGTTACAATTTTTAACGTTCTTGCATTAATATGTTAAATCCTGGGTTTGTAATGAGCATTTTTATCTAATTCAAAGATGACACTAGGGAGTGAATCGGTGTTTGAAATCACAGTGGTCTGTGATGTCCTGACTCTTGGCAGGTACGTCTCCGTTCATGGATGCACTAACAGCCAATGGAACAACCAACATACAGACATCTGTCACAGGAGTGACTGCTGGGAAAAGGAAATTTATTGACGACAGAAGAGACCAGCCTTTTGACAAGCGGCTGCGTTTCAGTGTGAGACAAACAGAAAGTGCCTACAGATACAGAGATATTGTCGTCAGGAAGCAAGACGGCTTCACCCATATCTTGTTATCCACAAAGTCATCAGAGAATAACTCACTAAACCCAGAGGTGAGAGGCGCTCCCCAGGCTGACGTGTGCCTCGTGCTTCCCTGCGCCCCTGTTTCCCGGGCCTGCTTTGCTGAGCTGGTGCTTTTTGTGCTCTTTCTAAACCTCCTTCTGGACCTGCTTACGGTACCCACCAGGAGGCAGGGGCAGAGGTGAAGTCTGGCAGCGTTGGGATGGTTGGCCTGTGCTCAGTGTCCATCTCCATTCTCCTGGGTGTGAGCTGTGGTGGGTGCCAGAGCCCTGAACGTGGAGATGGTAGCTGTGTCTCTGTCCCCACCCCACCCCACCCCCCTCAGCTCTGCACCTGGAAGTCATGGGGGCTCAGCTGAAGTCACGTGGGAAATGTGTGTGCGCGCACTGTGTTTTAGCTTCCATCAGATGCTTAAAGGGTTCTTTGTTCAGGCAGAATTATATAATGCCCCTTCAAAATATTTATCATCACTGCTAGTCTTGAGGTATTCTTCAGCAGAAACACGCAGCTGCAGGGATTTCCACACTTGTTCATTGCTGCTGGTTCTAGTGAGTAAGCTTGCAAGGACTGAGGGAGGCTGATGCTTGCAAAGTTTCAAAAACTAATCCTGTGAAGCTTCTAGAATCGGGAGTACTTGAACCTGCACCTTAACAAAATTCTAAGTTCCACTAGTAGTTTGTTTTCTACTTGTGAGCAGTGAGGTCAAGTTTTTTTCCAGAGAAGGAAACCAAACTATGGAAAGACTGTGTGTCTGGCCAGGGCCATGTGACAAACCAGTTCAGGGCTGGTCCTCGGTACATTAGTAGACTTCAGAATCCCTTCAAAGGTTGGTTATTTTTAAATGCTCCACAGAGGTCATTTTAAATGATTTCGTGCACTTCTAAAATTATCTTCCTGTGCTGATGTGCTTGTATTTAATGCACTTATACACCTAACTATTTAGATTACCGTCCTAAGTGTAGTAGACTGTTTTGTTTTTTAAAAAAATACAAAACAACAAAAAACGGAACTGAGCTAGTTTCTTTGAACTGGTTGAATGTGCCACCTGCTGTCCAGATTGTGGAAGTGTCCAGGATATAACATGTAACTTGCCTGCTGAGAGCCACAGTGACCCTAGAGATTCATGTGTCTTTCTAATCATACTCTGTTTATAATTAGTTACTTAGTTATATTTACAAGCCATGCCCAGCATCCCGATCTCTGGTTACAGAAATTTGCAAATTATTTCAAGTCGTCATAGATGCAGTGAATGATATCAGGCTATGAATGTGAGTGTGGTTTCCGTACATCCAAATTATCCAGTAATAAAATGCTTCTAGGATTCTGTACCCAAAATACTCTTCACCACTGTAACTTCTGGTGACTTTCAGGTAATGAAAGAAGTCCAGAGCGCGCTGACCACAGCCGCTGCCGATGACAGCAAGCTTGTGCTGCTCAGCGCGGTGGGCAGTGTCTTCTGCTGCGGCCTTGACTTCATTTATTTCATACGGCGTTTGACAGATGACAGGAAGAGAGAAAGCACTAAAATGGCAGAAGCTATCAGGTATGCAAACACGGTGTTTTTTAAATCTTGGTGTGGGTGTTTGGTTTTTAGTATACCTGATGGAACAGACCCAAACAAGCCTTGAGAGTACCATATACATCTTCTACAGAGAGAAACTAGTAGCAAAATTAATTAAATCATCTCTCCTTTCTGTGGGCCTGGCATAAATTACTACTTGCCTTAGGCAAATGACTGATTTCAAGGCTGGCTTAAACCCAGTGAGCACTTGGGGAATGTTCTAATGAATAGAGTGTACGGCGATGGATAGCCAGAGTTTCCATTGTCTGTGCTGTGGGTGTGTTCTGTCCTCAACACTTAAGTAAAGGTGCATTCTCTTCCAAGTAATAATTCACCATTTGCTTGGCTATAAAATAGTCTAGGCTTTATGACAAGCTAGTTTCATGACTTCAAATGGAAAGTTTTCTTTTGTTTTTTGGGTTTTTTAAGTATGTAGATACACATTCTTGTTAAGTTCATCCTAAGTTCCAATTTCACAAAGAACTAGATAATTTGGAGTAAAAAGTAAAAGTACCCTGCATGGCAGGATGGGGAAGGGGCTTTCTTTTGTCGTGGTGGGGCTGGGCCAGGGTGTCTCTGTGACACATCGGCCAAGGTGGTTCTCATGGGTGCTGCCCCAAGCAGCCCTGCAGAAGAGTGCTGGAACCCCACACCTTGGAGTTACTGGGCGTTGCCTTGGCCTTTCATAACATATTTATGAAAATTAATATATTTTTATACTATGTACACATGGATTTAGGGGGTTATATATTCCTTAATCTTTTTGAACATTACCATTTTTTAGGCTGTTGTATGGTGGTGGTGGTTTTGTTTTCTCAGAAATAGTTTGAAATTTTATAATCTGATCTTTTTAAGTATTATTTCTGGTCTCAGTGATTTCAAATTTGTGGTATAGGAAATGAGTCTGTCCTTGACAGATGGTCAGGACCTCTAAGACAACTTGTGGATATTCCTCATTATTAACCTAGCCATTCAGATGAATTACGTAAATTTAGTTTTCATTTTTAAAATACAAACCATTATATCTCATGTGGTGACTTTGTATATTTTCCATGAGTCACACTGAATTTACACATAATAGGGTGCTTTGGGGCCACTCTGCTCTGGTCATAAGAAAATAGGATTTGTCAGCCAGTGCCTGCTGAGTCCTGGCTCTGTGTCCCCGGAGACCCTTCCCTGCGCTCCGCTGGTAAGTGTCAGTGGTGCCTCTCCCTGCTGCAGCCCCTTGCTCCTCCAGTGTTGATCACCCTTTACAGTGGTGGTGGCTCGTGGTGTTGGGATCAGTAGAAGCAGAGGAAAGACAGATCAACACAGATTTAAATAGAGATTTCATCTGTTGAAGTTCTAGGTAACTTTAAACATTTATTTTCATCAGCTCCCCACTTTCCTTTCACTCTCCTCGCATCCCAAAAAAGCCGAGCCTGTATTTCAGGAAAGCCCATCCTGCTTTAAGGAAACCCACTTGTCTTTTTAAGTGAATATATTTCTGTCAGTGTGAATATTTCTTAATATGCTTTGGCAGCATCAAAAAAATAATTAGTTACACCAGATTCACTTAACCTTTCCTCTTCTCATTTGCATTTAAATTAATTTTTATATGGATAAGATTGGCTTATGCACATAAAGCTCTTATTACCATGTATATTTTTTGTTTCTGTGGTGTTGATGCTGGAGACAAGGGGTCTGGGAAGGCCTGGTAGCCCACCCCGTCCTCTGACCGGGTTCCTGACTCCAGCACAGGAAAGAAGTCAAGGGCAGAGTCACGGTAGAGAACGGGCTCAAGGCAGCCAACGAGAGACACGGGATCCAGGGAGCGCGGCCGGGGACCCCGGGTTTAACAGGACAGTGAGAGGCGTGTGCAGGGCGCTGGCGCAGGCCGGCTCCACGGGAGCAGCCACCCGCCTCTGCAGGGGTTCGGCTCTATAGTCACGCCCTCTAGTCCATATTCCTGCTGCCGATGAACAGAAACGCCACCTTGCCGAGCACGCCTGGCGAGTGAGGCGCTAGGACCCGGTTCTACTGAGCAGGCGCAGCCACTGGACGTGCGTAGTCGGCCTCTGCGGTCTCCCCAGGGTCCCCGACGGTCCCCGACGGTCCCCGATGGTCCGAGAGTCGGTCTGACCTGGAACAGGAACCGTCCTCCAGGGCAGAGCCCGAGACCTCGGGAGTGGCTGGAAACCCAGAGGCGGGAAACCGAGCACCGCCTATATCAGTGTCTTGTTTCAAATTCCTTAAAAGTTTGAGACAAAGGACTTCATTAGAGCGAATTTCCAAACGAAAGATTGGAAAGAGGAAGATTAGGTTTTCCTTTTTAGGCATTGGTGGTGATAACCAGTTTGTAGATTCATCGTAATAAAAATACTTAGCACATTAGTGATAAAACAAAAACTATTACTAGTCAGTTTAGAGTGTTAGGTGTTTGAAATCAGCGGGAACAGCGACTCGTCCTCCGTGTCTGGAGAATGAGGATCCTCCTAGCGCCAGGAGCGAGGCGCCTTCTCCCGTGACAAGGACACTGGGGGCTCGGACCGAGCAGTTCCCAAAGGCTAGAGGATTTGGAAGGGAACGAAGCGAGCAGTAACCGTGCCCCTGGCACCTGACCTCTGCACCATCCGGTCCTTCCCGCTGCAGACATTCAGAATGAGGAAAGAACTCAGCTAAGGAAAAGCAGCGAGCTGTCGCTTCAGTCCCTTGCTGCCTCTTCTCCCTAAACTGTCCTAGACTGTCATCTTGTGTGACTGTCAATCAGTAAATGTTTCTCAAAGGAAGAATTTTATTTAATCGTAAGTCTTTTTTCTTTAAACTAATTCTGTGGCAGGTATCTCTTTGCTTCCCTGCCGTACCCAATACAGCTTTTAACTCATTTCTCAAATAATCCAGAGCATACAAATTTAAATGCAGTGTGTTGCATTGTGCACATTTGAAAGTGCATGCATTTTGATTTTAAGTTATAAAACACACTGGCTCCACACCCAGCAAAGGCAGCAAGCAAGCGCCCGTCCCCGGGCCTGAAGGCCGCTCCTGCACCGTGGCAGTGTGACTTGATTCATAGCAATGTGAGTTGATTCGTAGCAGTGTGACTTGATTCACAGCTCACAGGGCTGAGCCTCTGTGGCCCTGAGAAGTTTCTGCTACACAGAAAAGCATTTCTGCGAAGGTTTTTTGTGCTTTTTTAAACGAAATGAGTTTCAGTGCTGGCTGTTCGTATATGGTCTCTCGGGGCTCACACCTCAGAATGGCAGGTCCGTGTTCTGGAAGGGTAAGGTGGCCTTGGCTCCAGTACAAGCTTCAATTCATACCCACCCAGAAAGAGCCTCCAGTGTCAGGTGAAACTATCATTCCAGCCAAAAATAAAAACAAGTTTTCAGTTCTAAAACTTTCTCTAGCCTGTTAAAACCCAAGTTTTGATTTTTTCAATCTATATTTGAGAAGCAGATTTCTGTTTGTTCTATACAAACAGATCACATGGTGCGGGGCGGGGGGCTGTGCTGTGACAGGAAGTCAGTAGATCCTATTGCTGTGTCTTTAGAGGATCACTTCATTCTGTCTCTGGTTTTGATCCCTCCTTTCATGTCAATCTACCCTCCCATCCTGGGTTTCCAGATGTCAGAGTTGGGCTTTTTCTGCTTTGAGAGCAGAGCTGCTCCGGGGCCCCCGGGGGACATTGTGGAAACTGTTGGCTCTACATCATGGAGACAATGTGGAAACTGTTGGCTCTACATCATGGAGACAATTCAGCAGTTACCTTTCGGAGAGTGGTTGGTACCTGAGTGTAGGAAATTTAGTCCCATCTGGTGTCATTGACACAAAATCCTCAAAAGGCAACACAGCTGAAGTAGCTTCCTGTAGTTTTTCTGTGCTTATTTCAAGAGCCTGTTTAGAAGGTTATCTGGCTCTCTTTATATCATTAAACCCCAGTGTGATCTTTCTAACATGCCTGAGGCTTCTCATTTAGAAGGTCTTAGTGCAGCTCATTCATTTGAATGAGTTAATTGTTGCTCAGTGCAAAGATCTTGCAAGCCCTGGGGGCTTTGGGAGGCCAGGCTGACAGTGCTGGAGTTCTGTGAGCTTCCTCCCCTGTTACACACACGCACACGCACACACACACGCACACACACACACACCCCTCCTCACACACAACCTGCACCTTCCAAAAAAGTGATGACCCATCCTGTCAGTGTTTAGGAGGGTTACAGAGAACTGTCTAAGATGCTGAATCATGATTTCCAGAGAAGATCTGAACAGATTGCTCTAGTTTTTGCATTGCTGGATTGCAGAGAGCTTCCAGATTGTTATTCCCAGTACTAAAGATGGGGGTCAGAGGGTGGGCCGGTGGCTCACTTGGGAGAGTGTGGTGCTGATAACACCAAGGCCACAGGTTCGGATCCCTATCTATATAGGGATGGCCAGTTCGCTCACTTGGGAGAATGTGGTGCTGACACCACCAAGTCAAGGGTTAAGATCCCCTTACCAGTCATCTTTAAAAAAAATAAATAAAATAAAAAATAAAGATGGGAGTCAGGTTTAGAATCCAGCAAGTGAAAAGTTCTATTTATCCTGTAATTCTGATCTAGAACTCAGACTGCCTTAAAGGGGTTACCTTGTATTTATCTCGGTGTATGTTTATCCTCTCCTCCACTGTGTTGAATCATAAGAAGAAACAACCGGTGGACATAAAATCATCTTCCAGTATCGGGAAGAAGATGAACATTCCCAATATGGTGTGACACCAACCTACTCTTAATTGAAAAGCAGCCTGCTTTGTTAGCCTGATCCTAAAACAAATCCAAAAATAGCACTGGCTCGGTTTAATGAAAATCTGCAACCTCCGTGAAGGCCACCCTGCTCCCAGTCTCACTGCCTCTTGAACTCCTGCTGCAGTCCTGTCCTCCAGCACATGACACAATGCAGACGCTGTGCCGGAGCACGCCTTGCCGTGCTGGCCAGTCTTACGCGGCCATCGCACATTTTAAACCAGCAGGCAGCCTGTGAGGCTCTTGTCTCTGTATGCCCCAGGTCATTCAGTCTAGTTCAGTATAAACTCAGGCAATATTTGTTGTTTCCATATAATCAGTGAGCAGTGTGAAATCACAAAGCAAGGCCAGCCACAGCCCCGTGATTTCTTCCCCCCTAATCCACCACTGTTCCCTCCACACAGGCAGTCTCAGTATGCCTTGTGCCGAGTTGTCTCTGGAATAGCTTCCTGGCTGGTCGTATGAAACCCATGGTGCGTACTGGGCTCCTTAGGTCTTCTAGAGAAGAAAGGTTGAAGAGCAGGAAGTGTTGGTCATAGAGCCCAAGGGCCGCCTGCAGACACAGAAGCAGCCTCTGGCCATATGTTCCCTGTCACCTCCACAGCGGTCCTGTAGCAGCAGCCACCTCCTGCATGGTCACATGTAGTTCATCAACCCATGGTTCACAGGTTCTGGGAGAAGGCCTTGAAGAAGACTTAGCTCTTAATGATTTCCAGAGTTTACATCGTGGTGAATTGAATTCCGTAATAGATTTTTCATTTGCTCAAATATGCAATGTTTTGAGTAATTCCCCATTTATTTTTCATTTTAGAAACTTCGTGAATACTTTCATTCAGTTTAAGAAGCCTATTATTGTAGCAGTCAATGGCCCAGCCATTGGACTAGGAGCATCCATATTGCCTCTTTGTGATGTGGTTTGGGCTAACGAAAAGGCTTGGTTTCAAACACCCTATACTACCTTCGGACAGAGTCCAGATGGCTGTTCTACCGTTATGTTTCCCAAGATTATGGGAGGCGCATCTGTGAGTACCCTTTTTTTAAAAAAAAAAATCATTGTAGAAAACTTCCTGAAGAAATCTAGTTTGGTTACTGTTTCTCTGAATATACACTGTGTGTCATTCTGCAGGGACTTTTCATCAGATTCTCTTGTAATTCAGATTTTGGTTCCTAGAACGTTACTGACACAGCTTTGCATCCTTCCCTGGAGAAGGACCTCATTCATTGATTAGCCTATAGCTTTGCATGATTCAAACTGATATCCACTGTTAGTAAATACCCAGTTGGACACCCAAACAACAGTTTGCAAGTGAATAGTTCTCTACCAAATAACCTAATGAGGGAGAAGTCCCGTAGGATAAGAGAGGGCTTTTGGGGGTATAATTTTTGTGGTTTTCTTTTTCAACTGTTTAAACAAATCCACCCATGGTAATAGTTTGTGTTTGTATCGTAGCTTGTGAGTTAAGATGTTATGCTTATCTCATTCCTTAGTCCTGAAATGGCAGGAGGTAGTGAGGGGTTGGGTCCTCCAAATGCAGGAGAATTTGATGAGTCTGGCGTGTAGGAGAATTATCAGGTAGGTGGTCCTCACCCAGTGAAGGGACAGAGAGGAAGTAGGACAAAGCTTCGGCCACCCACAGAGAGCTCTGGAGCACACGTGGCCTGTCCCCATTGCCCGACAGTGGGCTGAGGTGGCTACTTCCTCTGCGTCCATCATCACTGGGTGTGGGGTGCACAGGAAGAGTGCTGTGCCCGTTGAGGGGTGACTCTCCTGGCGGGGGGTGGCAGCACATTTCAGTGTCCACCACAGTCCACCCTGGTGCCGATCATACCCACCTTATCATGCATGTTTGGGGGGCAGTTCCTCCAGATTCCAGGGGCCTCTCCCCCTGGGGGGACCTTAGAGGAGAAAGATAAGACAGCAATAACTGTTTCAGGCAAGAACCACCTGGATGTTAAAATCAGTAAGAGTGTTGTTAAACTTCTCACTGTGTAAGGGAGACCGAAAAAAGGATTACTCAAAGCACCATGAATGCGATGAGAAGCCTGAGGGGTCTGCACCTCAGCAGCTCCTCTGTTCAGAAGGAGAAAACTGGATACAGCTCCAATTAAAGTTAGCTTCTGTTTTTATTGTAAAAACAAGGAAGTTTCACAAGAAAAATCAGTTGATTCAATCATTTTAAAAGAACACAAAGACACGGGCTATGTGACAAAAGTTATCTATGGCTAAGTATAGCTTAAACAATGGAAACTAGTAACATCAGTAAAATTAACAATGTGACATTCCAAAGTATAATTTGTGAAAAGCTAAGTTGGTCAAACTGTGATCATTATCTAAAGTATAACCTCTCCTTAAGCAAAAGTTACATTCTTATGATAAAATATAAGTATAATTATCTCTAAAGTTTCCCCCAACAGACAGCTTGCCCCTAGCAAACATTTTTTTCACATCTTTCTCTTCAGCAATTCTTTTTTTTTTTTTTTTTTTTTTTTTTTTAAAAAA